TTATTACTACTAGTACATTCTAAGAAGGGCTCAGCTGCGTTATTGGAAAGGAGCTTATTTAGCAAAAACAACTAAACCAGAACTATAAGAGATCATTATATTTGAAATTTATGTCCTTGGTCTGACATTTTCTGTACTTGATTTCCTTGCCAGCAACATAACTAAGCCATAATGTGTGAATTAGTTAAGGTGGCATTTTGCTTGTGTTATTAATAACAGTGCCTCAGAGCTATAGGTATGGATAGGAGGGTTTATAATCTTTCTTCGCAGTGAGAGATTTTCAGATAGGAAAATACATTTATAAGAAGGAGGACCTAACAGCAGAGGAGACTATCTGGTGCACCCTGTGTCACACTCTCAGAAGCTGAAAAGGTGAATGTTGTAAACCTTGACTGCAGTTGCGACAGGGTGGGAGGCAGCTGAAGAACACTTCTTAGTGTCCCGTCTCGTCCTCCCTGTAATAGTATTATCTGTTGCATTCAGACACTGTAGTTCATATTGAGTTTTCCTATGACGTAAAGGTGCCTAAAATAATATGAACAATATCATGCTGATTTGCGTTGCATCAGCACTGTCAGAGGCATGCTGTCGCTTCAATCAAATAACAGATACAGAATCTAGAAGCAGAATTTTATTGGGTTATTTTAATAAATGTTAAAAGAAGGCAGCAAGATGAACATTGGCTACCTCTTGATTTTGTACTGAACTGAAAAATCCAGAAGAGTCTGGATTTCTGAACTGGAACAGCACATGGGCATTTCGTGAAGTTGTTTGGAGTATGTGTCTGCTCAGGAGCATACATCAGAGGGATAACAGTAACTTATTGAATGGCACTTCAGCCTGTCTTTTTTTTTTTTTCTTCTTCCTTGAGCTGTCGCTGTTGTTCTGTTGTTATTTAGCAGTGTTTGACTTCAGCGACCAACGTCTTGTGAAACAGGCGTTTTCTTGCTTAGTTGGAGAAAGGGAGGCAGTGTGCAACTAAGTTGCTCAAGATTATGGATGACATTGACCGGAATATTTGAGCTAAATTGAAGATTGGTAATAAGAGGGATTCCTGTACTATGCTTGGATCAGATGCCTCTTTCTTGAATAAAAATGTCTTTATGAGTAAATGTTGTCTAATACTTCAAGTTCGGTGTTTTGTGTTTGGTTGTTTGGTTTTGGTGGGTTTTGTTTGTTTGGGGTCTTTTTCTGTCTCCAAATCACAATAGTCTATACAGAAAAGCCATGGCAGTTCAGATAAAACTGTAAGAAGTACTCTGCTCTTATCTAGAGCTCAGGCTGGTGCACAATAATATTCATCTGTGTTGTGTGAAAGCTTTTTTCCTATGTGGGAAATACCCCTTGTTGGGATTGGATTGTGGCATTTTCATGATGAAATTAACACTTAACATTTTGGCAAAGGCTTTTTTCAAGCTTTGTCTTTCACTATGGAGTATTTTAGGTTCTCCCATGTTGGAAACGAAAATATTATTGGCTCTCTTGTTTCCTTATCTGCCTTGCTGGGTGATGGTACCATGCTTTTCCCTTGGGATAGTAGGAAGTATTTTCATTCTGGGTTATGCCTGAGCATGGTGTAAGCATTTTAGTGCCCAGACTATGTGGCTTCCAATAACTCTGTAACTTTCATTGTGCTTGAGCAGTGTGTCGTTTCTTGTATGCATCAGGATGGAATGTGACAATGTTGGTTTTTTTTTTTTCTCCTTTTTGGGGTTTCTTGTAGAATACGTTAGCCTGTTAAGCAAGGAAAGGATGATGCTTGCTCTTTATTGCTGTTTTAATATGTTCAGGATTGAAGTGTATTGCCTGTGATTTTGTGGCAATCCCCTTCTTTCTGGCAGATTGGAAGATGGCTTAGTGTAAACTAATACCATTGAGTGAAATTAATACTTTTTGCCTCTGTGGTAAAGCCTGAAGGGTCTTTCTCAGTCATTGCTTTTCTGTACGAATTACATTCCTCTCCCCCTCGATGCATGCTTTCTCTCTTTAAAGTAGGGAGCAATTTTTCTTGACTGGGATGACTTGTGTGTGTCCCAGTTAAACTTTGTTTTCTTGAAGAAATCTAATGTTTAAAGAAAAAAAATCTGGTCTTCCTCTTTTTGGGTTTAGTTAAAATGTGTCTTACAAGCCTCTGTTAAGAACAGGGCTGTGATAATAGGTAGGTAACAGTAAGGTAGTTTGAGAAAAGCAGCATTAGGCTTTCTCACCTCCTTTTTTTGGTACGGTTTTCAGTGTGCCTCAGATAAGCAAGTAGTGTGCAGAAT